CTTTAAATTTTAAGAGACAAAAGGCAAACCTGATAAGGGAACATGGCAATGTTATCCGCCACGAAAATCCATTCTTCTAACCGGAGTTTCTCCCTGGAGTCCTCGCTGAAGAGCCTGAAAAAAATCTCGATAATACCCTTCACGAAGTACACCAGAAATTTATATTTAACACACTGACGACAGCGTCGTCTTCTTATTTCTGCAAAAAAAGCTCTCATGCTATATGGCTCCTATCGAAACAATGCAGGAGGGCCAGAACTTATGCAGAAGCTATTAAGCTTCTGTTGCCTTCGAATACTTTCACCATAAACTAGAAGGCTTCATGAAGTTGTTGTACCTGATGCACGCGGAATCTCGGAGCAATCTTGGAGGGTGGCCATTCCTTAGCACCAGAATCTACAAAAGGGATTCGATCTCAACCCTCCCCCTCCCCTTCGTCGGAAGTTACACCGGTACACTAGCTAACTGCTCGTGAAGGCTAACTGCTCATGAAGTATAAATTGTACATCTACAAAAATGGACTTTTTTTACTTCGGATAAGCACTTCCTTTGACCTCTGGGGTAAAATAATCACAAAGAAACATCCGCAGGAGCTGTAATTACCATAAAATCTACAATGCCTTCTCTTGTCAATATGTGGTTGTTAGCAGTTTGTGATATGTTCAAAAGCGCTTTTTACTGATACCATATCCCAGCATTGCGGCGCATTTTCGCCAACGTATTGAGGGAATATAGTCCTGAACTTTTTCAGTTCAACGATTCTTTATCCAAAAGTACACCACAAACCGTTCCCGAGTTTTTTTTTTAGCCTGAGGAGCCCCTGCGTGTTTTGCTACACTCGTCCAATACAAAGAACATTTATGATACGACAACGGGGTATGTCAGCTTCGGGATCCCCACCGCAAGGAGTGGAGCCATACTTTTGAAAATATTCCTCAACACCAGAGCCTGTCCCTTTCTTTGTCCATTTGATCGTGCTCCAAAAGAGAGAAAAGACCGCTAATGACGATGAAACACAGTGAAGAACGAAAAGAAACATGTAGTAAAGACGATGAAATTGCAAAGGATCGGCTCCCATGCAAATTGGACCACCTAATACTCAGATTGCTAACTGGATATGACTGACAACTGAATTGGATTTGGTCGGCCGCGTGACACTTTTTTACAAATACGTGACAATGCCCTGTGACCAGAAACCCGCCACCCTACCGCTACTTTCTTGAGGGGGACGAAGAAATGAGGTTTTTCCTGTGAAAGCATTTATTATCAACTAATGACGACCATCTACTTTAGAGATATGAATGGCTTGAGTAAATAGCCACATAGCAACAAATTTCCGCACTGCTAGTCCCATTCCTCCATTACGATTCTAAAAACTCAAAAAAATTTTCGCTGGCACTCTGCCTGTAGACGCTATTCGGTGCCCTGATCACAAAATGACACCCATTTCTACGATTTCATCGATGTTAAGAAAAGTATCGCCGTCAAAGGCACCAATCTGACGCCGCTACAAAGGCACCAATCTGACGCCTTCTTAACAAATCGGTGAAAACTCGTACACTTCCCTTTTTGGAGGCTGGCGCCATTTTGCCCCAAGTGGCGCCGATTCGAGCGACCATCCTTTTCACCAAAATCGATCACAATAGAGTTGCCCAATAGAGTTGGCCGATATCCTGACCAAGAATATAACGTTCATTTTTCAACAGGCCGCTGGCAATTTGGCGCTCTTCTTCTATGACAGCCTGAATAGGAGTTTCCCTTTCGACTAGGCTCCTTGTCAGCCTTAGCAGAAAGCAGATGGTCAGACTGTAGATTAGCGTCGGCACCAAAAACGAATGCCAGAATCAGGACGATCGTGATCAAGATGTCAAATAACCCCCTTATACGAGTTTTCACCGTTTCGGGTGAGAAAGGTGGCGGCGGCAAATGGCGCCAGCGTTCAAAACGAGTGTAATACTCGGTCAGGGTACCAAATTATTTCTATGGACAAAGTTTCAGCGCAATAAAAAATTGAGTTTTCAGAGACGTATTAGTTGTAACAATTTTGAAAAAATAAGATAGTTATCTAAAAATAACGTGCAACATTACAGAACGCAACATACCTTAGGACACTAGTGAGAAAAGATCTACGATGCTGCCGATTACCGCGAAGACGCTGATACAGACCGCTTAGCACCGCTTGCCCATCATTGGAATGACGCGGAAGACCGGTTGAAGGATCAATACGAGCTAAACAATCAGTCTGAGGCCTTAGTTACACAGAATGGAAACCAACAGTTTATTTACCGCCAGTGGTAGCATATGGGGATACATCACATGCACGAATTTAGCCCCGCCCGCGCCGCCGCCCCCCAACAATAATTTGCACCCATTTAGAGTGGATTCACGGCATCGTGTTAACTGGAGCTGGTAAGCCTTACGTACACGCGCTGTGTAGGCGGGTGTCTTGGAAAAGAATAAAAATCGAGGAAATCCCGAGAAAAGAAAACACTGTAGGTACAAAACCTGGATCATTCCGGCGTATTTTGCATCGATATCCTTCAACATCCCCTCTACTCGACTTCGAACCATCGGTAACGGATCTGTGGTCATGGCTATCAGTGTCGCAATCGATGTACCCGGCGTAACCAAGCCTTGCGTATACGTAAGATTCGCCACCTGCAATTATTATCCGCTGGGTAATTCAAGCAGCATACCAAAATCAGATATCACAGCTCAGTCTGATTGTATCTTCATTCATTATTTGATTGTTTCAACCCAAAAAGAAGTGGGAAGGGTAAAAGGGTCAAAACGGCGTAGAAAGGGAAAAGTTTAAAGCTAAAAAAACATATTGCGTAAAGAAAGAAAGAAGCTAATAATGATTCGACGAATTAGCAACGTTCCCAGCCACCTTCAAATGTTCCATGTCTAAGCACATTTTGATTGCTGCTTTTAAGCTCACATCCCGAAAGGCTTTCACGGAACTAAACGCCAGAGTGCCAAGGGATTGCCTTGGAGACAGTTCCCGCGCTCAACCGATTCGTAGGCGTCCTCCCTTGTAGAAGCAATCAAGTCTGCATATAGGACTCCCACTGCCTTCACAAAGTAGAAAAGCCGGTGGGACCCTCATAAGTAGCAGTTCTGATGCCCCTCTGGTTTCCCCGCCCATAAGGCCATTTTTGTCACGAGTTCAGCTTTCACACAGCGTTTTTCGTTTTTCCACTGTTAAACAGAATTAGCATTAGTTGACGCGAAGAAACAATTAGTGAACATGAATGGCAGGATATCGCTTTGTTGGCTTGAATGAGTGGCTCTGGAAAACTCGTGTAGTGAGGCCACCAGGGTGGGGGGGGGGGGAACGTCGTGGTGCTCTCTACTTCTTTCTTCTGTTTCTGTGAAGAGTCGCTTAAGACTATCGGTTTGTTATTGAACACTACTAACCACAATAGCGCGGGGGTGTCTCTAATTGTAAGTCATGCTTTGTTGATAAGTGCTTACCAGTGCGGAATGGCATCGGATTCCACTATGACTAGAGAAATAACCCTGCAAAACAGCCTGCCAGTAGATTTGAATAACTGTTGAGCCAAGTCCAGAACCTGCTTGATCCATTTCCTTCAAATTCTCTTGCTCTTTCCCTTTACCAACTGAAACATTGATTGATTGCAGGAATGAGAACATTTAACCAACAAGTGAACCCAACAGATTGTTTTAAGCACAAGAAACGCACAGTTTTGATCGCCCTTGATGAGCTTCAACTCCTCGGATTTCAAAAATTCTTCCAGATTTTGCAGCGCCTGTAGTCGCATTTGGGTGTAGTTGGGATCATCAGAACTTAGCAAAACGTGGTACATATCCTTCACATCTCTACACATCAAATACTCAGGATATCGTGCACAAAGATGACCTGAAATGCAATATTTCTCAACGACCATAATTGAAAAGAAGGTTATGGGAAGTTACCAAGAGCGACGAATGCTTTGTATCGGAGGTTTGGAACAGTGCTGCTCGAGAAATAGAAGAGCACATCGAAAACATTATCTCGAATTCGTCTGCAAAGGACTCTATGAGGTATTACATGAAAATATCAAAACAAACAGCCTACCGTGGCTTCTCTGGATCGTCATGGTTGATGTCTTCGATAGCACTTAGGGAGAAATCGGGACGAACATTATCGGCAGGAAACAGCCTGCTGTCGAAGTCTGGGTCTTTGATGATGGAATCAAAGTCAAAGTAGCGCGCCATAACGCCCACTCCACAAAGAAACCTGGAAGGGCTTGGATTTCAGGGCGAGCATAAGGCGCTGCCACCGCGAAGTCTGAACGCTGCCTAACAAAATTACGAGTGGTCTCCAATGAATTTTCGATAGGTATGAAGGAAAAGGCAGAAAATTCTGAATAAAATTCATTTGTCAATAATCCGCCATAATTTCAATATAGTTGCTTTGCTCGAGAAACTAACTTTTCAATACCCTCTAAGAAATATAGGTTGGAAGGAGCTGAGCTATATAGATGGTAGCGATGACCGTGTGTTCTCATATGGGCAGCTTGTTGTGCAGCATTCCGTCCCAGAAGCAGTAAAGAAGAACCTTCTCGGAACCATGCCCGGTTTGGACTGCTAGGATGGGTCTTCTCCTTGAGAGAGACACACGGTACTGTGTGAGTTGAAATCACAGAGGACCCATCTCTCATGTCCACTAAGCAGTCTCCTTAAAACTCCTTCTGACAAGGGCGGAGGGGAGACTCACCAAGGGGTACCCGGGTGCACAGCGTGCCATCGGTCAAGGTATGAGTGATCCATCGAGCCAGTACTTTTTGGTAGTCAAGGGCTTACAGGCGGTGGACGACTGTCAGGTACATCCGAGTCTTGTCGCAAGACTGCGGGTGGTAGCCTCCGGATCCTCCTTGACAGCTTCGAGAACGGTGGAGCCTTTCACTTCGTTGAGGCGTCCCGACCGAGGTTTTTCTTTGAGGATCGTATCTCCTTTCGCGAATTGAGCGAACCAAAAGTGAACGGTCCTGATGGTAGTGGTGTCCTCCCTCAATGCACTGCTGATGTTAGGGACAGCTGCCGTGGCTCCAGTGCCGGGGCCACTGATAGAAGATGATGACCCGAAGATACTCCTGTGAAACTGACATCGTAATTAAACCCAGGGAAGAGCAGGCGCCCTCACACACCTCTTGCAGGAAAGCTCTCAGAATGTTCTACATGGCATATTACCTCATGCTCAAGCATCGAGAATCAAAAATTGTAAGCTTTCAAAGGAAACACTGACAGGACTTATTTCCAACCTATATCTTTCCTGCTTGTCTCCAAAATAAGCGTCAATTGCTGCTTTCAGCTCTTCATCGTCAGAAAAACGCTTTCCACAAAGATCTTTTTTTAGAATGGGGAACAAGAAGTAATCACTAATCATGTCATTCTGGTCTTCTTTTTCCAGGGATAACTAGAACAGCATTGATTAACCAAATGAAATAATGTATTCATACCCTCAGGGAGTATCGAAACCTGTTGGGATGATTTAAATTCGTTCGCCACTGCTAAATTACCCCGATACCGAGAATAATAAGACGACCCTTGTAGCAAGCCTAACTAATCATACACTATATTTTCGCATGGACAATGAGAAAAGAAACCCCAACACGTATCAAGCTAACATACTACAAAAATCCAATCGAAAAAAGTTATTGATGAGCTACAGTACCTTTCAATGCGAAACACCTTAGGCTCATCCAGTTTGCAATTAGGTATCGTCTTCAGCGCATTCTTCGCTCGTACAAGGTACCCTGAAAGGATCACGTGAGATATAGAGAACAATAAAAAGTGGCAATGTGTTCTTTAAAGTTGTTTAAACAACAGCAAAAATACCTAGGTATGACTTGAAAACAGTAGCGATGGCGGGCACTTCAGGTCGTCCAAAACGGTGCCAGATAGCAGACATACAACTGATCGGTTACGGTAGTGGTTGCCACACCGCTGGCATTAGTTGTCAAGTTCGCAAGAGTCTGATCTTGGCTGAAAAAATGTTGGAACTGGACAATAGCTATCACATTCCCTAACGAGACAGTTGCTGAAGTGGACATCAAAAGATCAAACAGTATTCCAACCAACTAGCTATGCCCTCAAGCTATTTGTTGCAAAAACGGTACACTTACGTGGTAAGGAAGGCGTCACTTGGGTGGCTCATGAGAGGCACAACTCGTTCTAACATACCAATAACTTCGTTCAGCACCTACAATACATGCATGACTAACATAATAATCTGAAGTGCTAACGAAGGCTCTGCTCACCGTAACTTCCGACTTTTGCGTTGCGTTCATTGAAAGATATGGTTGGAGAGTTTCAGCATGTTTGACTAGAAGTTCAGGCCGGACCTAAACGATCGCCATTCACATCAGTACCGGGACATAACACAGATGCGTTTAAGACAATCGTGCGGCTTAGTGCTAACAGCGTAAATAGGCGTCAATCAATGACACCTAGTAGTCCATTGCGTAACTGCCAGCTAGAAACATAGGGAGTGAACAACCTTGGGAAACCTAAAAGAAACGCCCCATAACAGTGGAGCCACCTTATTGTTAGACGAGTTTGTCGAGCGTCGGAAACTCAATCAACGGGATTCGACGTACAACCAGTTCCCGGCAAGAGCACAAAGAATCACCCTACGACGCTCCAGACACGCATAAGCGCGCATTAACGATTGCGAAAAAGTCAAGAGAAGTTGCCGCGACACGCGCGCGCGGAACGGGATGTTAGCATCAAACGGATCATGTGGAGCTGGACGAATTAGATCAGGCTTCCATTACTCTAACACCGCGTGAAGTTTCGGGCGGGAACTGGACCGACACATCGCACAGACTGGGGCCTGGTCAATCACACATAAACTTATGTGTAGGAGCGCACCATGCGTCTTTAATTGCCTGAGGGCATATATAAAATTTTGTTAGATAGTAAATATTCTACCTGGGAAGGCGCTGTAGACGAGAATAACATGTCTCTCAATTCCAGACTTTTGTTCTGACCGAACGAAATTTAACTGTGAAAATTCCACCATAAACTCACCTTACTGAACAAAGTAAGCGTATTGAGGCAAGATAGAAGTCGTTCCTGATTAATTTTATGCTCTTCCGCACTCTTTAGGATATCATTCGATTGGCTTGCCGGACCTAGCCGTTTCTCTGACCAACACATATTGATTAGGTAGTTACACTGCTTTCCACGAAAGATCTGAGCATTGAAGCATGTTACCATCTTATTCTCTAACGAATGGAGTTAATCCAATCAACATATACAATGATTTGTCGCTCGCGCCAGAGTACTCTGGAACGAACATAGATAAGTTTCGTTTGGTACTTTCTCGTAAAGAATCACGCAACAATAATTCACCCTGTCGCCTTGCTTCAACAACGCCTGGAAAAGCATTTCCATAGCTTCAAGTTTCATGTCTTCAGCGCATGCTTGGATAACTTTTTAGTGATCGTGACACATGGAATTATGAAAAAATAAATGTGAAAATTCTTCCTTCGGTGGTAATTGATCTTGTAGGAATGTCTGCTTCACAGCAAAGCACGAAAATGTTTCTTTCACATAACCCAGGCTCCCTTTCCAGAGCACATCATTAGTTGGGGATTTTGGTCACCTCGGTATAACCCGCTCCTGTAAGGTGACTTGATGCGACCCCTCCCATCTTGCCTACTATGTGGTTGGCACTAGTACTTTCGTTTTTTTACACCGGAATTTCGTTTCTAAAAGATTGAAATGTTTTGTCCGCCAAGCTTGATATCATCTTGGACATCTGTGTTTTTTGGATGGAGTTTTATTTGCCGTTTTTTTTTCTTTAGCTCAGTAGTTTTTAGAATATTAATACAGGTTTCGGTGAGGAACTAATTTTTTGTGGATTATCTTAGTCGTTGATTAATTGAAGAACGAGTCGGCGAAAATTAGCACCTTCGACAACTGCCTCTATTTACGTATAGTCGAAGTGCTAAAATCGCTTAAGCTGCTCCATACATTTGGAAAAGGTCGAGCTAGAAGTTCCAGCAAGGGAATCTCACTAGGACGCTTTGGAACGAATTTCAAGAATTTTGAAGTTACCAACCTTCACCTCGCCGATATGTGGCAGCTCACGTCTGTTCCACCTGAAATTTTATGCCAATATTTGAATGTTTCGCTGATATGTTTTGCATGTTCTGATAGCAAATTTCGTGCTCTATAAACTGCTATAGGAAATCTGTTCTCCAGAGGTGTTTGCTTTCTGTTAAGTTCAGGTTATCATTACGGAACGCGAAGTCGTTGAGAACTAGCGTTCCCGTTCTCCACGAATTTTATGCTAACATTTGAATGTTTCGCTAATGTGTTCTATATGTTCTGATAGCCAATTTCGTGCTCTATAACAATGCGTTGCAGTATTTTGAAAACCATTTGATGAACCTTGTTTTCAGGTGGATAATATGGAATGTCAGGTCGATAAGCATCAGCACTTCAGACATCTCCTCCTTTTCGCATTCAACAGAGGTATCAGTACCATCCTTGAAGCGTCTGAACCAATTTTGGGCTGTTTTGAGAGAGAGGGCATCTTCTCCGTACACTTCGCGAATTTCCTAAGAGCAGCATCAGCAGCTCTGGCCCAATATCGGCGAGGTGAAGGTTGGTAACTTCAAAATTCTTGAAATTCGTTCAAAGCGTCCTAGTGAGATTCCCTGGCCGGAACTTCTAGCACAACCGAACCTTTTCCAATGCTATGTAGCAGCTTAAGCGATTTTAGCACTTCGACTATACGTAAATAGAGGCAGTTGTCGAAGGTGCTAATTTTCGCCGACTTCGCTTTCAACTTCAACGACTAAAAAATCCACAAAAATTATTCCCTCAACCAAAGCCGTTTTAATATTCTGTGAAACTACGTGAAGTTTCCTATCAGATGATATCAAGCTTGCTAGCAAAACATTTCATCTTTGGAACGAAATTTCCGGTTGAAAAAAAACGAAAGTACTTATGTGCCAACCCAATATTTCTTAGATTTTCCCAAGTTCTTACAGGTTTTCGGGATTCACGAAATATCATCCACTTTTTCGCAAAAACTTTGTCGAGCGAGGAGGAGGAAGGGGGCGGGGGGCAGGAGGGAGGCAGGGGGATATACCGACTGTGAAACAAGGAAGACGCGAAATATTTCTTTTGGCGACAATAAGACTCTTTCAGCGATGCGTCCTTAAAAGCGGTGACTAAAAAAGTTTTCATTTAGACAAGTAGACCCGCCCCGGGAATACGACGATGACGTGCTCTGCTCTTTCCCAAGTTTTTATGTTTTCTTACTCGCCTAAATATTATGGAACATGTATTCACGTGCTTTCCTCTGCAATCCCTGTATCTCCGGATCCGCTGAAGGATAAACGTGGCATTATACTGAATATCCAGATTGTGATAGAGAACTACATGAAGTTCCTGACGCTCCAAACTGGATCCCAGCACACGCTTTTCATTTCAGTCACATGTCATAAATGCAATCCCAGTTATAACGTAGTTATTTGCGACATTGTGGTTGTACTAATAGGCATATCTCACTTTATATGAATGTTGTGTTGAGTAATCATATTATGGAGAAACCTCTGCGACCAAAGAGACGTGAAAAGTCTTCGCTGCACGGGTGGGCGTGTCGAGCAATCACTGAGCGTCAGGCGAGGGGTGATGAATCCACTATTCGATAACGCTTCAGCCTCCATCTGTGAGGCTGCATAGATCCATCCTTAATTTCCTTGCAATTAAGTATACACTACCCGGCAAAATGCGGAGCCCAGCTCTTCAGAAACTGGGCTATTTGCGCCGAACCACGCCGGAGGAATTTATACGGTACACATCGAAAGGTAAAAATGACAATTTCAAGGTAGCTATACCTTGAGAAGGTGCTGATTCCTCAGATACTGGTTGAAACCAACGGCCTGATAAAGTTTTCCAGAAGTTCTTAACTCTCGTCGTTTGCCTCGTCCGTACTACTTGAGGGCGAGCATGGTTGGAATCTGGGAAGAATAAAAAATATGATGACTCAACAAATTTTTGATACAGGAGGTCTATGTACTACTGCTTTCGTGGGCAGAAGTATAGGTTTAGCTGAACTAACTCGGCCATTTGTATTTTTAATCGATCAGATCACAGAGGCGCAGCTCGTTTCCTTACTCAGTGATACAGGAATTCAGACGGCAAATCATTGAACAGAAAACTTTGGAAATCAGAAGTTTCGATTTGTTTTCGTTAACTACTGTTTTTGGAGGCGAGTCGCGTCATAACTGTAACTAAACTGATAGTGAGTTGAGGAAAAGCGCAACGCGAAATGCACTGAAAACCGCAGCTGTCAAGAAAGTAATCAAAATTGTAGGAGAAGTTCGCTAATAAAAGATAGCGACCGACTGGATAGATAAAAGTCCGTGCGTACACTGGTTGCATTTCACAGCCATTTAATGTGCAGCTTTCTCATGCGAATTGATGTAGACATGAAGGATGGTCTTGCGAGTGGAGAGTTCTCCAGCTTAACGCTAGCTGACGGCCTTCAGGATTCTCTTGATTCTGCTATCGATGATTTCCCGGTTTTTTTTGTTCCGTTGATGAGTAGTGTTTGAGGAAAAAGTGGCGGCATATAGATGAATCACCCGCAGCTGGCACCAGGCTACTAGAATTGTGAGCGAGCGATATGAGCACTCCAGCCTAAAAACTTCGGTGCGGCAGTCGTTCCACAACTGTATTTTTCAGAGTGTGATTAGGAACGTTGCGGGGAGACGGTCATCAGCCTCCACTTTAGAACGACGTGCTCAAGGGTCGGCAAAGCGATGCTTACTCGAAGCGTTGCGGTGATTATTCCGGTTTTGTTTACTGGTGCGCTACTCTATATTCCATTATGCTCCTGCATTAATATTCATTAAAGAGCTAGCGGTTTTCAATGTTTAGAGACGGACTGCCTACAAGTGTAGCGGATATACTGACTTTCGGACAGCTAGAAAAATTCGTGAGAAAAGCATCGCCACTGGCGCAGTGGGCCGACAACGGCCCGCGCATGTCCTAGACGACGCCTCACTTTCATTCCTAAGGTGCTGTGGGTGGTTGCTTTCATTGTCAAGATTCGAATGGTGAGAGTGAAGAGAAGAGCTGACACCGAGAAAACAGAACTCGTCGAAAACGCCCTTTCTTCGCCTTATGCATGCACGCGCGCTTCAGCGTTAGGGTGTGTATGGACTCGGGCGGGTTGGACGGGGAGTTCGGCGAGGGAGGGAAATTTTGCTTATCTGGCTGCTTCGCATGCAACGTATCCGCTATTTAGAGAGTTTCCTTGAGTTTGGTTTTACATGGCGGTCGGAGAACTAGCTTCAGCTTCGCAAGAGTTCACAGGTTTCACCAGAATGAGACTTGTAAACCGAAACTAGTAAAGCGAAAGTGTAAAATGCCCTCCCTAGCCAAATTGCGCCCATGCATACTTGCGTATCAAATGATTTTGTGATTAGCAATGGAGTGTATTCGTCTTCATTTTGTTAGCTCATCTTCGAGTTCGTCTTCGAAATCATTCACACGCGCTTCTACAGTTCATAAAATTACACGCGTAAAAGTTGACGATGTTTGAAGGATACAGTCAAACTACGCGAAGTACGTTCCCGAGATGCAATGGAAAGCACACTACCCAGTAACCGACTAGTAGTCCACAATGAATGAATATTAAAAAAAACTCGAAAGTGAATCGGACGCTTACCTGCTCCAAATGCGGAAATTTCTCACATATTTCTCGCATTATACGAATGACTCGTTTTCGCACAGCGACGCCGGTGTCCTAAAAGTGTGAGTCAACCCCGATCCACAGACGACACAAATCCAAACAAACCATTAAGCGCTCCGCAAGGAGAGGATAGTATGTGGGAATCGCGTCAAAATTGGCAACCACGAATTTTCCAATCATTTCGACCGTCGCTTCACGAACTGCAGCATTGGAATCGGTCATACGGTTGTGAGCAGCAGAAGAAACTTCAGGCTATAAAAAAATTAGGTTAGTCAAAAAGCAAAAGTTTCTGCATGAAATACTATGAAACGGTTAAGGATTAAAGGCAATTCCTGCGATCAAGTGTTACGGAATCACCCTAAGGACACTCTAGGAAACGCAATGCACGCGCAATTTTGCTTGTAAGTCGTTGCCTTGCAGGATAAAGTAACCGTAGTAGTCGTGGTTGCAATGGTTGCAGTAATCACGCGTCTACCTTCTTCGAAAACGGTATTTTCTCTACAAATGCGGACCACGATGCCAAATACACGAAGGCATTTCACGAACCACTTGATCGCGGGAACTGTCAATGAAAATAAAATGTCTGAGGGTGGAAACTGACCATGAGAAGAACAGATTGGTCACTTTCGATGATCTGAGTGAGGCATCGCATGGCTTTCGTCCGTAAACTCACTGTGGTTTCACTCGTGATACCAGTGACAATCTAAAATAACCCTGATAATCACAAGAACTCGATAGTGAGACTGGTTGCACGTTAAAGATCTCATGGAAAATCGCAAAACAAGAAACAACTTATGATATAGGAAAAAAGAGTACCAGATACAAACAAAATAAGTACCAACCTGTTTCAGGAACGAGTCAAAGGAATGAGTGAACTCCCTCTTAGCAGCAAGATATTTTATGCACCAAGCTACGTCAGATTCCAGCATAGAACTACCGAAGCGTCTAAATTTGTGTTATTATCCAGTGGCCAAATGGTTTCAAAGCTACAAATAGAAATAAGAAACTGACTTAGCATTTTCATATCTCCTTTGCCTGTCTTTTTTGCGACCCAAAAGGTCAATCAGAAAGATCTTTTGAGCTTGTGCACGCTTAACTTTCTTCATATGACGAGACTCATTCTTACGGTGTTCCTAGAAAAACAACTTCCATAAAACATTAAAATGAAAAGAAAATATTTTCAAGGAATCTAGGAGTTTATAGAGCAGATACAGCTTGTCAAATCAATAGATGAAACATAGAAATCACCTTTTCCGACAAGTTCTCACGTTTACTTTCAGCATATCGTGCTTCGAGTTCCTGCAGGTCTTCGAGAATCTCTTTGTACCACACACAGCAATAAAACCTTACAGCATACTGAAATGGAATAGTGTAGACGTCTAACTGAGCCTACAACCCCGCTTCATCCCGGAATTTTCGCAAGCAAAAGATAATTGAGTTTCGTGAATTGTAAAGGCAATGGTAGCTTCCGGAATGTCAGGGAACTCCCCATATAGGTGACTGTTTTTGTTCTGTGGTAATAGTCCCCCACTTAAAAAAATGGCCGCTTGTGAACATTAGGCCATATGAATGTTCTCGAGTTTATCCCGTTCACTAGAAGCTTACAAAAGCAGCGCTAAGTTACCGAACCATGACTACGTTTCCAACAATGTCTATGATGCTTTCCCATGTTTGATAACCTATGTTTTGGAATAGGTACGTGAGAAAAAAAATTTTCGGACCTGACGGCTTTA